AGACCAACTTTTTCTAATGTATTTTTTGACGTAGATTACGAATCTGATTGTTGATCGGTCCGGGGAGGGGGCTTTTTCGAGATATGTGGGGTCAAAGGTCAAATCTGGCATATTTAAGGAAGGGGATCGCAAAAGTGAATTAGTGTACCAAAATAATGTTTTCTAATGTAATTTAGATCATAGATTCCAAAAATTACAGTAAATTGGACAGGTATGGAGTCGTTCAAAGGTTATTGGGGTCAAAGGTCAAATAAGACATAATCTGGAAAAGGGTGCTGCCTGTGTGATAAATGTGAAAAAAGAAACATTTCTGACATATTTTTGGGCGTAGAATGGGAATCTGATTGTTGATTGGTCCAGGGAGGGGTATTTTTTGAGATATGAGGGGTCAAAGGTTAAATTCGGCATATTTAAGAAAGGGGTCCTAAATGTGTAATAGTTTACGAAAATAATGTTTTCAATGTAATTTAGGTCATATATTCGAGAAAAAATGACAGTTGGACAGGTGTGGAGTTCGTTCAAAAGTTATTGGGGTTAAACTTCAAATAAAATATAATCTGGAAAGTGGTATTACAGGTGCGTGTGATAAATACCAAAATAATGTTTTACAATTTAATTTTGGTCGTAAATGTTTAAAACTTTAATATTAAGTACCTAAAAATTCATCCTCACTCTCCGACATTTTCACTTTCACTGTCACAGTAACCTTCACTTGTTTCAGTATAAAGTAATTCGATCAGATCATCTGACATCACAGCATTTTGTCCAAAGAATTTCGCTGTCAGCGGTCCACCCATGATTCTGTGGATTTGGAGCATCAATTATGGGGACACACGATTGCCTCCATAAACGGCAGACATAATTGGCTCTCTGTATGTGTAGATACATGCATTCTTTACAGGGTGGTAAGAAGGAAAGGTCTACAAATTTACCACTTTTGTTATATTTTTCCCGAAACAGATGTTGCCTTGCGGGGTGTACGTCTTTTATTTTCTTAAGTCCATACAGCTTGCACACAAGCTCTTCTAAGTTGTTGTAAAGTCCATTGGTTACAATTCAACTTTTTCCAAGTGCTACGAATGTGTTATTAAATCTTGGAAATTTCTTGAGCACTTTCCAATACGTCATTTTCTCTTTCCTGAAAAATATCGACACATATTCATTACCTGTAAAAGAATGTAAACCGAGGAGAGCTTCTTTAATTTTTTGGACATGTTGCTTTCTTTGAGATCATAGATTTTCCTGCTGTTTCCGTGCCCATTGTCAACCATAATCTGGTCATATTCAGCAAAGAGTGCCAATAGAATAACAATTATATCAGTATCAACTGAAGGTGATAATTGTTCCAGGGTTGATTACAATTGCATGATTAATGTGCAACGCAATTATCGTGTCTGCTTCTTCCTGATCAGATGCCAGCTCATCCACACAGCATACGTTCCCGTTGGACAACTTAAAACATTAATTTTCTTTGAAAAATAAATACAATTCCCTTTAGGAATAATATCCTTTTGTTCCTTCCATACATCCAGTATGAGATCAGTCATACGATCTTTGTTTGACCCATTCGTCAAGAAGCTTGAAAAATTCCTTGGTATTTTAGTGTTTTCCGAATTTATGAAAAAAAGAGCACTTGTCCCACGGTCGTTTTGTTTCCCAGATTTGACCTTTGACCCCACATATCTCGAAAAAGCCCCCTCCCTGGACCGATCAACAATCAGATTCGTAATCTACGTCAAAAAATACATTAGAAAAAGTTGGTCTGGTAAATTCTGCAAAAAGTGACACCTACACCTCATATACGACCGGTCTAAAACGGCAATAAACCAAAACGGCAACACTTCCAGAATTCTGATTCAATATTTATTTTGGTATATTATCAGTTTAGTTTATTTCCCATCATCAAAATATTCTACAAGCAGATAAGATTTGCACAAGGCAGGACAAACAATTACAATAAAAAATGATGCAAGGATGACCTATGAAAGTTTTCAAACATCAAAATATAAAACGAAAAAAACCCCCATTAAATTACAGATAAAATGAGGCTCAACCATTTGTGTAATATAAGTAAAAAACACGAAAAAAAAAAAAAAAAAAAAAAAAAAATAATAATAATAATTTCTCTAAATCTGACTTTTGTGTTATTGTCCCCTTAATTTTTTAATTGTTCTCTAATTCCTGCATTGTCTAAGTTCCCCTTAAGGTAGGTTTTAGTAACATAACACCAACAACAACATCAATAATAATAATAACAATAATAATAATAATAATAATAATAATAATAATAATAAAATTAATAACAACAACAAAACAAAACATAAAACGTATATATATCTCCTAGCGGAGATAAATAATAATAATATTAATAATGATGATGATAATATGATGACGATAATAATATGATAATTAATAATAATAATAATAATAATAACAATAATATCAACAACAATAATAATAATAATAATTAATAGGCCTGCCCTAGGCCCTAATAAAACAATTAACAACAAATTAAATAATAAAAGGATCTGGGGAAACATGATATAAAAAGTAAACATTATCAAATAAATGAAACTTCAAAATACAGAGACTAAATGAGGCATCTACACAATTTTGCTACTTTGCTGTTTTGTTACCTATCATTGCCGTTTTGCTCTGCTGCCGTTTGGTTTATTGCCGTTTTGGTTATTGCCGTTTTGACCTGCATCCAAATAAAATCTTCTATTTTTTTGTTTATAGTTCTGGGTTTAGACCATTCTATTCTGGTTCAAGGCCTAGGCCCTTCATATAGAATCTGCATTGGAGAAACGTCTTCTAAATAAAAAAAAATGATAGAGCTATGGGCTAATAATATAGGCCTAGGCTAGGCCTAGCCTAGGTGCAGTTGCTGGCGGTCCCTTCGATCGTTTTTGGTCGGAAAATGGTACCGTATCGTCTGACAGCGATTGAATGAAATAAAGATATTGATTTGTGTCGGTCATCAGGAAGGTACGTGTGTTTACTTTTCACCCATCAGACGACAAATTACGATTGGATATTTAACATTTAAAAGTTAGATTTAATAAAAACATATATGGAAATAAATGTTTTATAACTTTGACCACAAACCTACCTAATTAGCATAAATTCATTGTATTGCTTAATGAATAATACACAAAGCGATTAATTACATTTTACAAAACATTTCATTTAGAACAATTAATATTAAGCAATTTTCCATTGTGTTTTTGTGCCCAATTTGCAATAAATAAGATACAAAATGAAAGATGTTATGATTTTAATTTCATACATTTAAAATCAGTTTAAAGTACTATAGTTGTGTAGAGGTTACACTATTGAGCAATTATAGTCAGGTTTTGAGTACACTATAGGAATAAAAGCTGAAGGAGCCATTATTTCCTGACAATTTTTGAATGAAAAAATGGTTCCCAAGGCTCCAATTTCCTATAGTGTATTGACTATTGCCTTATGTGGTATGAGTGGTTGCTATGACAGGGGCGGATCTAGGTTCACATTTGGGGGGGGGGGTGTCAGACTTTTATTAATAAAAATGCCAAAAAAAGGGGGATGACCCCTCCCCCAGGAAAATTTTGATTCTTAGATGGCGGGAAATGAGCTTTCCAGACTTCTGAGGTGTCTTTTAATGACTTTTAAGTTCTTCAAAATTCAAGGTTTTCCCTTTCTTGAAAACGGTCAGGTAAACTTTCTCATTCTTATTTCAGTAAATAGGTCTATTTATGTGTGTATATGTACATAACAAAAAAAAATTGAGTTGCTTACGTATTCTTTATTCTATGAATAGATAACCCCACAGAGGAAGGGGGTCTGGGGTTATTACAGTAAATAGGCCTATTTATGTGTGTATACGTACATTTAAAAAATTGAGTTGCTTACGTATTCTTTTTTCAATAAATGGATAACCCCAAAGAGGAATGGGGGTGCGTGGGTCCTCCCCGGTAAAATATTTGATCACTAGATGGCAGGAAATGAGCTTTCCCAACTTCTGAGGTGTCTTTTAATGACGTTTAAGTTCTTTAAAATTTAAGATTTTCCTCTGCTTGAAAATGGTTAGGTAAACTTCTCATTCTTATTATTGTAAATACTAGTAGCCCTACTATGTGTGTATGTACAGTACATAACAAAAATTGAGTCGCTGCATACATACATTCTTTTTTCAATAAATCGATGAACAACAAATAAAACAGGGTTTGGGGTCCTCCCCGGAAAAATTTTGGTACATAGATGGCGAGAAATGAGTTTTCCCGACTTCTGAAGTGTCTTTTAATCCAAATTCAAGGGTTTCCCCTTTTGTAAACGGTCAGGTAATTTTTTCTCATTCTTATTACAGTAAACAGGCCTATGTGTGTACTGGTACACAGAGAAATTTTTTTTCCCCCAAGGGGGTCAGGACCCCCTGATCCCCCTCCCCCTTCAGATCCACCAATGTGCTATATAATGAATCCATAGTGACTGTGGTCGGGTGCTTAGTGATCACTGTGCGTTTTCATTAGCTGCGTGTATTAGAATGATTTGTGAGTAGTATGCGCACTGACACTTCGCATAGCACTTCACAGCTCTTCACGGTGGTACGGAAATGTATACAGTGATGGTTAATGAAGTTTATTAGCTGCTATTAAAGTAGGCCTAACCTCCTGGTAGATATTTATGTACTCTAGATTAAAATAAGTCAATCATCTCTATCTATCTGTCTCAGCTATTATGCCTTTAATTCGTGTTAACCAGCACCGCAGAGAGAGATTTGCTAGGTTCACTGTGTGTGTTCATAGTTTGCCTAGCAACGAAATATTCCATCGCGATGTGCTGTAGTAAAATCACCCAGTGGTGGCACCAGAGATTTGCAGACAAGGGGTCCGACATGTCCAATGGAGGGGTCCAAACAAAGGCGACGACGAAGCATCAGTCGACGGCCCGGAATAAAAGAAATCCCTGTTAAAGTTCATGGGGAGAGTTTTTTTTGGAGAGACTTAATTTGGTCATAAATGTGCTTTTAGACCACAATATTCGGGATTGGCAATCAATATAGCATTATTTGGATAGGCAAATTATTATTTTTGTTTTTTCATTTTTTGTCCAACAACCTAGTCGTTCTTTGGACGACAGGGGGTCCAGGTCTGTCCGACGGGTAGGCAAATGCCCACTCTGCCCACCCCACTAGCGCCACCACTGAAATCACCCTAGCTTTGAGCTTTTTTGCGCATGAGACGCTAAGAATTGGAGGTATTAAACCAATTAGTGATCAGTCGGGTATAGGAAAATTCAGTACAAATGAAAGTAATGATGTCAACACTGACTTATAGTAATGATCAGTAAGATTCAAAATGGTGATAATGACAATGGTGATATTACAGTGATAACAAAATTGAATTACATGATAATAATAATAAATTAATAAAAAGGATAATTATAGTGTTACTGATTTGATAGTGATTATAATTATCAACAATTGTAATAATGTATTTATCGAATGTATTGATAATATATCTGTTGGGATGCATGCTTGTTATCTTGACATTTCCTGCCAACTTCACAAAATAGAGAAGAAAAAAAAAGAAATCTTGCCAACTTAGTGATAAGGCTACATAGCAGGTTAATTTTAGCTTTAAACGTGGGATGACACTAATTAGAACTTATGATCAACTTAATTACAGATTATTCTTCAGATTGTGATCTATTTTTTAAGTTTGCAAAATAAAAGTATACCCTATTGGTATTAATAAACCCTTCTCCTTGGGATATATAAATTGTTAAATAATATTTAAAAATAAATATGGAACCCAAAGCCCTTTGACTGCTGATTCAATTCTTCAACTGAGTTTAATACGAATTGTTAATCTCATGGATTTAATGTTGATTCCTTTATCTGAAAGGTTGCATAAAAATACACAGTGAATTTATAATTAATATACATCCATATATATGCACATATTTTCAGTGATAATTGATTACATTTATAAGTCACTTAATTTTATATTATAAAGTCCATTTGGTGCATGTTTAGAAAAATTTATGTGACCCCTTAGGATTTATGTGACCCCCAAGGATTTGAACCCAAGACCCCCTGTATAGTTAGGTAGCTATCAGGACATGTTATACTCCCTTGGACCAGTGTATAATATTTTCACTCAAACATTTATAAATTATTATATAACATTTCATAATGCTGACTATTTTACAAGGCCTGTATGTCATGAATATGTCATAAAGCATTGCATGTACAATATGGCATGATTTTTGAATAAAATATAATTAAAAACATCTGTTTAACAAGCCACCAATATCATAACTTGGAGGTCTATCATAATTTCACTTTTAAAAGTTGATTATGTTACATACTGTGATCTTATAATATTCCAAAATGTCCCTTGAGAAAAAAAAAATATTCATGCACTAGCATCTTAATGGTTGGTAGAAGATAGTATGTCTTTGATCTAAAACACTGTTTATACTGTAAACTTATATTTGACAAATATCTGTGATTTGCAATAATGGACATGATGATGTCATATGCTATTTATAGACAAATCACAGCTATTTGACACATGAAAATTGATAGTGTGGACAGAATGAGGCGAGTCGAATGGCTGAGCGGTTTAGGCTGGGGGTGGGGGACTGGAGGGTCACAAGCAAGGGTTTAGCCAAAAAAATGAAATAGGCCGTCCAAAATGGAAGCCATTGGGCGTGGCACTGAGCCGATGGGCGAGGCACGCCCATCTTTGGGAATCCCCACCGAATATTGGTACGAAAACAACGTACATTCAATCAATAAATGTTGCTTTTATCAAACGTAAATATGATTTAGCTTTAGTTTAATGTAACATTCGATAGATTAGAAAATTATAAAGAATTTGCTATTTAAGGTAGACCAGGCCCAATTAGGCTAGGCCGAGCTGATTAGGCCAAGCCGTCCTAGCCATCCTAAATAATTGTAGGCCGTCCAAAAAGACGTAATTTTTTGGAGGGGCGTCCACCCCACCACCCACGCACCCCCTACACACGCCATTGTGTACATTATGTGATAGAAATTAAATATACTTTCTCTTAAGCTTTGTGTACACTATCAAATTTTATGCGACAAAAAATACGATGACATCATATCACATGTTATCAACTTATATCAAAAAATGTTGAAAGCGTTCAACTCTTGTTGTTAATGAAATTTAATAGTGTAGACAAAACTTTACTTATCAATATCACAATTTAGTTCATTTCAGAACTTAAAGTATGGGTGGAGCAGTAAGTACAGGAGAGGACAACGACCACCTGGTTGACAATCTCAAAGATGCCGAATACATAAAATCCAAAAGAGTTGAAGAAGTCTTCCGTGCCGTAGATCGCAGTCATTACTACTTAGAAGACCATAAGGATAACGCTTACAAAGACCTAGCATGGAAACACGGCAACATTCATTTATCGGCTCCGTGTATATATTCAGAGGTGATGGAATCACTGGAGTTGAAACCGGGATTGTCATTTCTGAACCTTGGATCTGGGACAGGATATTTAAGTACAATGGTCGGATTAGTTTTAGGTACGTTTTAAATTATGAAATATTAGGGTCGCTTTTTAATTTTCAATTATTAAATTAAGTACAAAATCAATTAATAAATCAGTCAGATGAACATTCAAATCATAAAATTGTAGACAATGTAAAATTTGAGAAGGCTGTATAATATAGATTGTTGAGACGTGAAATGTGATATGCCCATACTGTATTTAAATATAGTATGACATCATCATGCCCATATATGGGCACATCATGCCCATATATGGGCACATCGTGCCCATATATGGGCACATCATACAAATATGTTACATAAAATTTGATAGTGCCGACAGACCTTAAACTATTGTTTTCACATTCAAGTGAAGACGTGATCTCTCTTCACATATTATAGTTAATCATGCTAGTTTTCTCAGGATTCTCCTATACAGGTATAGGGAAAAGTTGGTCATTTCAGAAGTTAAACAAAAATTTTGTATTTTGTATTTAAACACTATCACAACTACAACTTAAGATTTATACTCTTTCCTTGTTTCAAATACCCTTCAGGTTCAAATGGTATCAACCATGGTGTAGAGATCCATGAAAACGTGATTGCATATGCTCAAGAAAAGTTAGCCTCTTTTATTACAGACTCAGAAAAATTTGACAGGTTTGAATTTTGCGAACCAAAGTTTGTACATGGTAAGTTTTTGATAAAGAACATTGGACAAATACATTGTTTCTGGTATATATTTATGGTCTTGAGTTAAGAAAACGGGAACTTTTAGGAGAACAGTACTGAGGTACAAAAATTATAGTCCAATAGAGAAAAAAATAAATGATAATTAGTAATAAAATCTGTATTTCCCTGAATGGTACAACATAATAATTTATCCTAGTTTCATGTGTTTCTGATAGCATGCCTGTCTTTTCATCATCTAGGTAATTGCTTACTGCTACCATCCGGCACACGTCAGTATGACCGTGTATACTGCGGTGCTGCATGCCCACCAGAACATCAGAACTACATGAAAAATCTCATCAAAGTCGGGGGAATTCTAGTTATGCCTCTTGATGATCAGGTATGTGATATTCTTGTGTGTTTTTATAAAAGGGGTTTGATATCTACCACACGAAGTGATGCTCATTGCATTTGATTATCCTGGTTGTTGCATTATATCATGTGTCATGTGTAGCCATCTACATATCCGGTTCTGCTATGTAAATGATCATTCAAGCTAATTCACTATCTATTTAACATTTTAAGTGGTGTTTTCTATGTATAAAATTGTAAGTAAATGTACGCATCGCTACATTGTATTGCTTAGTGAATAAAATATTTTAAATTATATTATATTTTGATGTGATCATTTTTGATTGAGGGAAATGCTCTGCCTTCTTTAACTAGCTTTTACAGTTTACCCGTAAGGATGAAAATAGTTGGGAATCAAAAAGCGCCCTCCCGGTATCATTTGCATCACTCATCACCCCAACAGTGGAACAGCAAGGAATTCTAGCAACTGTGGACTTGCGTAAGTAAAATCTTAATAATTTTTCTAATGGTCCGTTGTTCCGCTTTTTATTTAGATGAAAATATTTTACCGGGCAGATTATGAACGCTGGATGTCTAGAAATGTAATGAACGTGTTATTTGCACCATTAATTCTTCCATCTGATATGGATTATAAGAGCAATAAATCACTGCTAAGCCTTGGTAAGTTAAATTTGATACTTGCGAGTGATGCGGAAAATGTGATGAATCCTATTATTCATACCAAAATATTATTTTGGCTTATACACCACAACATAGTATTTTGTGCTTCTAAAACAAAAGCTGTAATGGTGATAAAAAGTAACAAAAATAATACAAACAAAAAATACCAGGTTAATCCCTAGAGATTATCATTTTAATCTTCCTTCCACAGCATCTGTTGATCCTAGAAGTCTACAGGAGTTAAGTCGTCTGAAAATCAGAGCCATCATTCGGGAAGTGGTATTCAAAAAACATCCACCTAAAGACACACCAAGGGTAGAACGCAACAATCGTCGACCGCGTAACTGCATAACAATACGTAACATGAGTAACATGATTGAGCTTGCCGGAGAATTGATGAATGAATTTAATGAGGACGATGAACATGAGGAACCCGCTGGCAGACAGTCACGGAGGACTGTCTCAGAAAGTGCTGTTCCTGAAAGAGAATTCCCACCACCAGGTCCTAAACGTTCTAATGGAAGAGACAAAGGCAATGGAGCAAAAAATGGCAAAGAGAAAAATAATGGTAGGAGAGATAATGGCTCGGGGGAAAGCTCATCATCTCATGCCTCAATTAACAGACGACGAAATGCGAAAAGTGAAAGTGATGCAAACTCAAAGACAGATGGACTTCAACAACAGCAAGAATTACAAGCCAGAGCAGAAGGTGCAAGAAGTGTACATGAGCTTCAGGACAGCGACGTTCTGGAAGCAAATTTTGAAAGTCGACAAGAAAATGATGAAAATAATGATGCGAGTATTGAACAACGCGATGCTGCACGTGATCGCATGGTGAACTGTTTTGCAGAAGCAATGTTGATAGCTCGTAGCCTCAAACGAGCATATGAGAACGGATTCCCGCAAGACCGCAAACGATTGAATGATAGATCAAGTGAGTGCGAAATGGATGTTGATAATGCAGCGTCTCTTGCATCGCAAGATCAAGATCTTGGTGCAAGTAGTAGCGCCAACACTGAAGCAACCGCGGGTTCATCCACATCCACTTTGCCAGGAAACCCTAGTGCTGAAAGTCACAGTGAAGATAAAGAGTGTGAAATTTATGATAAAGTTGAAAGAGTGCCAACATCAGACAACGGCAGCATTGAAAAGAGTCTGGGAAACCGACACCCCATGTCAAATCCTGGAATTGAAATAAATCATGATATAGGCGATTATTTAGTCAGTGAGGATGATGACGAGGATGATGAAGATGAAGATGATGATGGGGATAAGAGAAGCTCTATTGATCTGTCTTCTGGGTCAAGTTCCTCAAGTACAGATGATCTAACTGACGAAGGGATTTTTGAAGATTTGAAAGTGAGGCGATTGTACAGTACCAGAAAGCAGGTTACCAAAACACCTGTCTCTCCACCGGAGAGGAATTATATTAGGGAGTATATAATGGAACTACCGCTTCCCCAGTCGCTAATACAGTATTTGTTGTATAGCCGCACACAGTAAAGCATCCTTGTATCAATGCGACTGATATTAAGGGCCATGTATTAATTTTGACATATACAAGGTAAATATTACAGACTGTATTCTAGATGCTCTTTATAACAGTTTCAGTCAAGGTTCTTAATGTAGGTGTAGGCCTGCAAAATTATAACCAGTCAAAAAAAATCTGCCTATCAGCAAAGCTTACAGCTAATGTATAGCATAAAAGTAAGTTGAAAAAATAAACAACACTGGTATTTACTTAGCTTATTTTAAGTTACGAAAAAATAAATTGCAATATAATGCAGTTTTAAATTTAAAATCCTGTTCTCATTATTCTTTGATTGGCCTGGTCACAATGGTGTGCCACTTTAATGAAGTTTATTATGAGCAGCGTCCAATCTTTCAAATTTAGATACCTGTACCTATCATCTGTACAGCTGCTGGACAAATCAAAATTTCCTTCTAATTCTAGAAACGTAACAACACAATATTGTTTAAAAAATACTTATAACCTGTATTAAGATTGCCAAGGAGATAAATTGACATTAAGAACAAAATGTGAATAATCTTAGTTTACTAGATTTTGTTTATGTTGTTTTCACATAAATGAGAAGTGCTTTAATGTATAGATTGTTGTGATGTAAAACAAAAGAATAGTGTTTATTCAAGGTTAACAGAATGGGTATAAATAAATATTCAAAAGAACAGGTTTGAATGCTAAAACTGATGTGGGTGTTGAACAGAATGAATATGAATATTCAAAAGAACAAATTTAAATGTTCAACAAAACTGATGTCAGTGTTGAACAGAATAAATATACATTTTCAACAGAAAGGAGTTGGATCTTCACTAGTAGAGTGAATATTTAATGTAATTATATGAATATTGGACAGAATGGATATAACAATATGTAACAGAACTGGTTTGATTGTCCAACAGAATTATTGTAAATGCATATCGGAATGGAAATTTATGTTGAAGAAAATGGGGATGAATATTCAACAAAAATGTTGAATATTCAACTGAAAGGTTTGTATATAAAGTGGAAATACTGTAAACTGATAAATGCATTTTGCAAATAGTTGTTCTATTTAATTGGATGTACTGTATATAAACATTTTATAATTTAATAGCAAACAATATTATTGGAAATTTTGCTACTTTTTAAAGAACCAAGGCGCATTAGTTCACAGCTGTTTGTGGGTAACTACTGTACTTCCAATTTGATTAAACTTGTTCTGTTTTGTATTGCACTCTTTCTCATCATTTTGTCAATGTTCAGTTGTAGCCCACTTTCTGAGGGTGAAATAATACCATCATAATATTTCATTTGTTTCAATCAATGACAAAATCAATGGATGATAATTTTTAAATAATTAAATCAGAATTGGATAATAATCTTTGTGAATGTATGTGATGAATTCTTTAAACACTAGATTTGGTTTTTACTGCTAAAATGAACTCCACCCTCTAAGCCTGATAGTATGACCTGCTCAAAGCATTATGTAGGTTCCAAATGACTATTGAGTTCTTTAGAAGTTAGATTTAAAACAAATATTCTACTGGAAATTAAATACAGTATTGATAACTATATTGAAAACAGATGATTCTAACAAGTACAGAACTCTTGTACCTTAAGTGGGTTAAGTGCCAGTAAACTACAGAGGGTATGTGTGTCATTCTGTTTCAAGTACATATAATAACCTCAAATTTAAATAGGTTTGTGTGTAGTCATAAAAAAAAATCTTACGAAATGCATTATTTCATCACAGTTTAAAGTGATATTTCTGTTTACTAATTTACCAGTTTTTGTTATATTTTGCTACCCAATTATATGAAAGCAACAAGTAGCTAAAGTTGCTATTAATTTTCAATCTGTGCTAAGTTCACACATGTTAATGCTTAAAAGCATTTCATTTTAGATTTGTCAGAATGCCAGTAAATATTGAAGGTACTTTTTCTGGGCTACTAGCTAGTTACAATCTAAATATGTCCCAGGACCTGTGGTTAAAACTGGTAAATTTTTATAAGTCGAATCCAAAATGCCATTATAAAATTGTTCGACTTGGATAAAATTCAACTTACAGATGTTTAATTAATGGATAACACAACAACTTGGCAAGTAAAATAAGATTGAATTATTCGAGTTAGGCAAAGTCGACTTAGGTAAGACAATAAGTGGCTTACCCTACTGTAATTGTTATTTGGGATAGTAGATATCTTTTTAGTTGGCTACATATTTTTGGTTTAAATTAATAATATAAGGGTAAGTACTGAAAACATCTTGAAGTTTTTTACCCAAAGTAGGCCTAGTTGTGGATTGAGTTAGTAATGACACATGGTTTTATCATTATCATAAGTTCAATGGTTACACAGTAGACTGCATCTTGAATCCACAAGCCTAGTGATGTTGTTTTTGTACACTGCTGGTGTTTTGCTTTGAATTTGAAGTAGGCAAGTATTTCATTTAAGCCAGCCATTCCTACCATGCCTATCTTTTTAAAATCCTAATTTGTATTAATTTTTTAGTTCCTATGCATGTAATGCAATAGGAACTATTGTAATCACTTTCACAGTTTCCTTTGTGTTCTATTGTGTGTAGTGTGTATGTGTGTGTGTAGACATTTATGCAAATGCGCATGCGTCAAACAAAAGTTTTCCGACATTTTGTTTTTCTTCGCGCGCATGCGTCAAACAAAAGTTTTCCGACATTTTGTTTTTCTTCGCGATGCGAAGTTCGATGTGAGGTTTTTGCAGTGTTCAGTCAGGGCTCACGCTAACCGATCGGCAAGTTGGCATAGATGAAACTATTTTGGTTTTGCGGCAAAAAAAATTAACTGCTATAGGCATAGTGAAGGCCCGAAATGAAAAGAAGGTTTTAACACTTGCTGAAATACATCAGGTTTTTCATTTAGATCTCCATTTTTCGCCAACTCTGTGGTCGTTTGATTTGTTGTTTTATGAATAGTCTTGTTGCAAACGTCATTTCGTGCCTCCTGAGTTATCTGTTATTTGTAATTGTTATTTTAACGCGGTAAAGGGAGAGCAGTGGCTGTATAGCGTAGACTAATATGACGGTACTGTACTTTCGACAGCCGACGACGCAGTAGTGTTCTTTTGAATGCAAGATGTAGATATGAAGGCGGCCGACTGTTGGGTGCATAACGATTGTGTAGCTTGGAATTTCCCACTAAATCACGAGGCATACCCTACTAAGATGGTGGTAGTAATAAGCATATAATTAATAAATGATTTCGTGCATCGTCTAATACGTGAAATAATTTTAATAATGTGTGTAATAAATTAAGAAATGCACTGCAGCGTGGGTCGGTAATTTTAGTGAATAAAAACATGTCATAGTTTGCCAGTGTTTTGTCGTAGGCTTACTTAGTCGTCCCTCGACGAAGCAGTCACACATTTTTTTTTCGTTTTTATGAAAACACATGTTATTAGAACACTGAGGCTGATATTGCCTAAAAATTAAGGTCAAAATAAAAAGAAATTGAAGCCGAGGTAAAATAAGAAATGGGATTTTAATATAAAAAAAAAACAAGTCTCTTGTTGCAAGCTTGACAACCAGGTGGTTTTCCTCCTTGGGTAGCAAGAATTTGACAACTGTCAGATGGAATGCTTTCCAAACTATCATTAGTTTAGATAATTATCTTTTACCCATAGACAAGTAGGATTGAAGCCGAGGTAAAATAAGAAATGGGATTTTAATATAAAAAAAAAACAAGTCTCTTATTGCAAGCTTGACAACCAGGTGGTTTTCCTCCTTGGGTAGCAAGAATTTGACAACTGTCAGATGGAATGCTTTCCAAACTATCATTAGTTTAGATAATTATCTTTTACCCATAGACAAGTAGGGTATTGTTAGCAAAGGGTACCGGTATTGACTTTAATGTTATGTCGTCATACACAAACGATTTTGAAAATTTCAAAAGCAGAGAAATATCAGCGTATAATAATGAACCCCTCTGAATCATTAAAAAAAAAACCTCGCTAATAAAGCAACTTAAAGAAGATATATGATATAATCTGCCAAAATACCTAGACGTCGTCATATGATCTTCGACGATCTTTCAAAGTGTTGGGAATATTGTTACTCAGCAGAATGAACTTTGTGAACTACAATTTGTTATAGTAGCAAGACGGAGAACTGTCAGACGGAATGCTTTCTAAACTGTCATTAGCTTGAATAATAATTATCTTTTACCTATAGACAAGTAGGGTATTGTTAGCGAAGGGTATTGACATCGTCATACACAAACGATATCGGAAATTTCAAAAGCAGAGAAATATCAGCTTTTAAAACCCCTCTGAATCATAAACCCCCGCCTAATAAAACAACCTAAAGAAGATAATATCTTCGACGATCTTTCGAAGTGTTGGGACTATTATTGTTACAGCAGAATGAACTTTGTGAACTATAATTTGTTATAAATATAGACAATTTGTAGAATTTACCAAATTTCAAATGCAATTGATTGTTGGGAAATTTTTGATAAATGTTGTGTTTCTATGAAAAATTCTTGGTAATTGTATACGAGTTTCTATATGAAAAGTTATAGTTAATATTGTTAACCTGTACTAAGGTCACCGGCAAAATACCTGACGTCGTCATGATCTTCGACGGTCATTCGGAGGTTTTGGGGCTATATTGCTACAGCAGGATGAACTTTTTAAAATATAATTTGTTATAGTAGCAAGAATGACAGGTGGCAGACGGAATGCTTTCTAAGCTATCATTATCTTTGATAATTATCTTTTATCCATAGACAAGTAGGGTCTTGTTAGCGAAGGGTATTGACTTATGGCGTGATACACAAACGATTGTTAGCGAAGGGTATTGACTTATGTCGTGATACACAAACGATTTCGAAGCAGCAGAGAAAATATCAGCGTATATTAATAAAACCACTTTGAATCATAAAACCCCCGCCTAATATTAAGAAGACGTACGATATGATCTGCCAAAATACCTAGACGTCGTCATAAGATCTTCGACGATCTTTCGAAGTGTTGGGACTATAAATATTGCTAAAGCAGAATGAACTTTGTGAACTATAATTTGTTATAAATATAGACAATTTGTACAATTTCAAAGAATGCAAATGCTAGGCCTATTTATTGTTGGAAAATTATTGATATTGTAATTGTTTCTATGGAAAAATATTGGTAATTGATGTGTTTCTATATGAAAAATTATTGTTAATATTGTTAACTTACTCGAAGGTCACTGCACGTGACAGCCAAGTTGATGGGCGATTGTGCAGTAGCTGACAGATACAGATACAAAATCCAGGGCAATAGAATACAACCAGATAAAACTGTCATCCGCTGATAACCAAAATGTATTATGTTTACTTTTGTGTACCCATTTAGTAGAAGGTAACAGACCGCCGGTCGAAGACCTCAAACATGGTCCCCACGAGTCATTATATTACAGTATATCTGTTGCGTCGACCCTCGACAAACATCATTCCCGTGCTGAATCTTGTGGCCGGTAGACGTCTTGTGACTTTTTCATTATTTTTCATTACTGGTTTTGCTTTCCGACAACTGATTGGGAATTTCCATCACAGCTTTCGCCAGTTTGAAGACGTACGTATTTTTCACACAGTTTTTGCTAGTTTGAAAGGCGAGTGAAACTAGAATTTGTGCCTTGCTTTTTTGTGTTGCTCATCTGGCGCTTGTCATCTGTTTGCGAAATATTTCGAGCACGGCCTTTTTCTCCAGTTTTTGTAGCCTCAACAAACATTACTATCGCATCCAAGTCCAGTCACAGTATTGACAGGTATGTACTAACCTATTCATGTTTCGTTTGAAAATAATTTATCATTTAATAACAGAATAATCAATGGTTTCCTAAATATCCTAATTTATAATGCCTACATACCCATTAAGAAATATTAGCATAGGCCCAATTATACATTTAAATGAAAACTGTAATCACGCCAGTGTCACGCATCGCTGCTCTGCATGTTTGTTTTTACTAGCCTATCTATGTATTCTAAATACAAAAATATACAGTACTTGTTAAGCGTCACCGCCCGCCCCTGATTTTCTAGCCGGCCCTCTATTTTTCTGGGAAAAATGACAAAAATCAACTAAAAAATTCCGATAATTTATGGAAATAATCGTTGTTAATGTTATCTTGATTGAGTGAAGCGCGTCACCAATATCAACTCATGTACTGTCACAGACGTCGGTGTAATAATAGTAATACTATGTAGGCCTACTTAGTCAGGCATAGGCCTACTAGTACTTGTTTATTTTAGTTGTTTTTTTAGATAATAAGCAATGTTTTGAAAATGATAATAATACTTTAAAAGACAAATAATGTTTGTGTTACGATCTAGCCAGCTACGTAGCCTCAATTGGCCGATATAGATTGGCTAATAACTAGGCCAAGCTACAGTACCAAATGACTAGGCCTGGCAGCTAGCCCTACCTAGGCCAACCTACTCGAGAAAGTCAAGACAATTTACACACACACTTGTGCGTAGGCAAGGCCTAGCCAAAAGTGAATAATGTACAAACAAATCTGTTGTACCCTGGTTTGAAATGTTTAAAATAAGGCAGATACAGTACTGAGTCAGTTGTAGACTTTCTTTTATGTACAAGCCAAAACAGTGACATAAACTGAAACTGAATACCGTGCAGAGATAAATAATGAAGTTATCCGAAAAAAGGTTGGGGGGGGGGGGGTTGATGCTTAACAAGTATATTTTTTTATTTGGCCTTATAGTGTAGAGCAGTTGAAACTAGGACTGGGCTTGAATCGTGTAAATTTCAGAGTGCAATGACATTTAAGTTAGAGGTTTCTATTATAAAATATCCTAATTTTGAAAGCCTTTCCATTAAGAAATATTGGCATTATGCCTTCCTATTCAGAAATATTTGCATAGGCCCCTCGGATACATTTAAATGAAAAATTATGCCGGTGCTAGTGTCGCGCATTTCTGTGCTACACACCTAGTAGGCCTATTCTAATACGCAGGTTAGATATAGGCTCTTCTTTTCCAATCGTTACCTCAGAGGTCAAAAACAGTTTTCCAATTTTTTGTCAATCATTCAGTGGTGTGGACATAGTCTTTAAAGAAAAAAATCCGGGGAAAAATAATGTGATACGACCCTCTATTATGGGAGTTACAAATTTGTAAAAAATATTATGTCAAGAATTTAGCCTCTTGAATTCATAAGCTAGTATTAGTAAGTTTAGGTGGCGGCCCTAGCTCTGTTGTTTATTGATTACTGTATTTTTTTAAAAAGGTGCAGGTTACATGCCTCTGGTTTAATTTGTCATCACTTCAATATGTCTGCCGATTCATGGACTAGGGCTTAGCCTATTAATAAAGGACTAGCATAGACAGGTTAAAGCCTATGTAGAATACCAATCTTAACTTTTTGCCTAGATTCCATGAGTTTGAGAGGCCTAGGCACAGACCTAATGTACTAGGCTAGTGCCTATTCCACCTTCAGCCCATAGGCCTGGCTAGGGAACTAGGCCTACGCTAGGGAACTAGGCCTAGGCTAGGGAACTAGGCCTAGGCTAGGGAACTAGGCCTAGCCTAGGTTCTTTAAAGTTCTCTGTCACTTTCCAGCTAGGCCTGCTTAACACCCAATAATTGACGGAGGAAAATTAATAACTGTCACATAAACTTCTATTTGTCTAGTATAGGCCTTTTTCACGAATCGGTAGACATCTTCAAGTGTTGACAAACATTGCGATTCAGCAATATGCGTAACTAACAGGAATAGGATTAGCTTTTGAGCCGATTTTCTACCATCATGTTATTTAAAAATTCAAAACTCCATAACATGGCGTCGTATCCAAAAAAGTTTTCAGCAAAATGTTCTTTATAATAAAAAACTAATCTACACCACTATGTGAAAGAAAAATTGAATATTGTTTTGACCTCTAAAATCAAGATGGAAAAAGAAAAACTAATCTAACTAGTGTATTAAAATAGGTATATGCAATACAGTACAGTAGTATTACTCTGGACTAGCATTGTTTCAGTTACCATATGAGAGTTTAATCTGTTAAAAACATGATTTACTATACTATACTTCTTTATAAAACGTAATTTGTAAGAGAAATCTGTATACAATTTTTAGGTTTAACTCTTAACACTTGTCGGCCTATAGCCTAGGTTTTCAAAACTGATTTTGTAAGGCATAGGCATACACAGTATTTTTATGCTTTTTGGCAAAAGAATTAGGCATACTCATCATTAATTAAGGTTCCCATATACTGTAAATATTTTATCCAAGAAAAGTGGTCAACCTGAATTAGGTAGGCCTAGTATTGAAATTAATAATATTAATAAAACAATATCTTTTATATTTTATGGCTAAAAATTGATACACTGTCAGTGTAAACCATCATTTTTTGACAGTAAGAACAGCTCCCCACACTGCCTGTCAAAGAAAGAACAGCTCCCCACACTGCCTGTGAAATTCAAATAAATTGGTCCAATGAGAATTTCACCGTAACAATTAGTCACACCTTGTGACAAGAAATTCAGACAAATAATTAATGTTAAATAGGTAATATAATAAATATCATTTTCATTATTCTTTTGGCCTCCTAACTCTGATTCAGCAGCATCACTATTCTTCGATCAAATATTAAAAGAAAATCTTAGATTTTAGGTCTAACAAAAAACTTAAATTTTATTTAATTAGTTGCTAAAATGCCTGCAACAAAAGCATGAAATTTACAAACATTTTTTCCCTGAATTCCTCCAGGTTGAATAATATAGTAAATAGGCGTTGTTACTTTTACTGGACAATTCCTCTGCTGAAATCGGTAAGTAAAAATGCATTGTTAGGTTATCACATAGGATTATTATGTCGCAGACAAGCAAGACATCTTTAGTTGCAAATAATTTCAAAACATCAATGATTACTGACCCTGATATCATTATTGAAAATGTACATTCTCATAATCTATTCCTTTTTTATCCAGTTAATCGCATTTGGCGAATTGAAAAACAATCAGAATTCAGAACATATGATTACTGTTACAACATTTTGGACAATAACCAGCCTTGTCCAATATTAAATCCTCAGTTTTTGCCAAACACAATTTTGCCATCTAGTGTAAAAAAAATCAGAGGTGACGGAAACTGCTTCTTCAGATGCTTGTCCTACCTTCTAACCTTAAATGAAACACATCACATGTTTTTAAGACAATTAGTGGTGAAATCTATCAAACAACATCATTTACCAACTTCTTCTGTAACAGTTGACCAATACATACAAACCTCGCGCATGAATTATAATAAAGTTTGGTCAACTGAAGTTGAAATTTTAGCTGCTGCACAGTTGTTGAACACCGACATTTATACTTATGCGAAATCTGGCAGTCATTGGCAATGGCTTCGTTACCCTGCATCCACAACACTGAGTTCTCGAATAAATGCTAACAACTGTGCTATATATCTTTATAACACAAACAGCAACCACTATGATGTTGTTCTCACATGTAATACACATATTATTTCAAGTGGTATTTTAAAGCAACCAACAAAGCCACCGTCAACATCACAGCGTATTGCTGCAGAATTTGAAAGACAATGCCTTTGGCAATTAAAAAAAAAGGAACTTGCTGCTAAACAATTAAATAATAATTTGCACCAACATATACCATCTGACCAAATCAATCTATCAACAAAGCTACCAACTACTAATAAATATGATGAGGTAGCCGAAAACAAAAGACAACCAATAGATTTGACTTCAAAATTACAAACTGCTAGAAAATTTAATGAAATGGACAAAAGACGACATTCAAAAATAAGACACATCAGAAGAAAAAGAACTAATCCTTCATTCAAAAAGGAAGAGCAAAAATGTAATGCTAAACGCATGAAAAAAGCACGAACAGATACAACATACCAAAAAAAGGAGCAAAAATCTAATGCTCAACGCATGAAACAAAAGCGAACTGATCCAATATACCTAAAGAAAAACCTACAATGTAATGCTGAATGCATAGAAAAAAAACGAATGGACCCAGTGTGCAGGAGGAAAGAGCGAAAGGCTAATGCTGAACGCATGGAAAAGGTGCGAATTGATCCAGTATACAGAAAATCGAATGCTGAATACATAAAACAAAAACGAGCAGATCCTATTTACAGACAGAAAGAGCAAAAATTAAATCATAAAAGAATGAAACAGGCTAGACTTCATGGAACACGTGCTGAAGAAATAAATAAAAGTCCACGAAAACGAAAGTTGCACAAAAAGCCAACATTGGTCAACATTCAAAACAATTTTTGGAAATCTATTGAATCTGGCCCTGAATTCATTTGCTGCTGTTGTGAACAACTATGGTATAAGCATTGTGTAATAAACCTAAGCACACTAGATCCAAAACAAATAACAAATATTAAATTGCATACAACAACACTGCATAGAAAAACCTATTGGTTATGTGGAACATGTCATCGATACATTAAATTGAAAAAAACTCCTCCGTTGGGACTAGACAACAATATGACATTAACACAGATTCCAAAAGAACTCAAATTATTTCCTTTAGAAGAAAGATTAGTGGCACTTAGAACACCATTTATGCAAATCAGGGAACTTCCCAAAGGTCGACAATTAAATGTCAAAGGTAATGTTGTAAATGTTCCTGCAAATGTTTCAACCACCATCAAAAACCTTCCTCGAACACTAGATGATGGACACACTATTGCTATTAAATTTAAAAGAAAACTTGCCTACAAAAGTACAGTCCACAGTGAGAATGTCAGGCCATCAAAAGTCATTGATGCTGCTAAGTGGCTGATACAGAACAGCCAACTATACAAAGATGAAGGCATTATTGTTGACTCTTCATGGAAGCATTCTGCGGCCACAAATAACGACACAGATTGGATTGAATTTATAGACAAACAAGATAGACCTAGTACAAATGTGAATACTAAACAAACAAATTCACCAGATATTAAAGAACTGCTATCTGATTCTGACAATGATTGGACTGAAATTATCCATGAAAATGATCAACCATCTATTGGAACTCTAGATACAATGCTTACACCGGAATTCCATACAGAAAATCAAATGGCCTATTGCTGTGCACCAAGTGAGGGAAACACACCATTGGGTATTTTTCAAGACAAACACTCAGAAATTCTTGCATTTCCTACACTTTTTTGTGGACAACCCAGGAAGAAAACCATCACAAATGTTCACTATAGCACAATCTGCAAATGGGAACTACGCCATCGAGACAGACGATTTGCCCGATGTGTTCCAAACATTTTTTTCAAGGTAAAAAAACTTCAAATTCAACAAATACAACAACGAGTTACACTATGTTTACGGAAAAAGAAAATTCATGGACACAAGTTTACAGCACTTGACTTTAAGCATCCTGATCGAATCAAACGTATACTTTCTCTAGATGAAGGTTTCAGAATCTTTCGAACATTAAGAGGTTCCCCGCCCTATTGGGAAAATGCCAAAAAACAATTGTTTGCAATGATTCGTCAACTTGGTATTCCAACATGGTTTATATCATTATCAGCAGCAGAAACACGTTGGCTCCATTTACTTAAGATTCTATCAAGAACGGTGCATGGTAGAGATATAACAGATGAGGAGGCTTTACAAATGGATTGGAAAACAAAATCACTGCTCATTCAAAGTGATCCTGTCACATGTTCTCGACATTTTGATTACATGGTTCGTAAATTCATGAACAATTTCCTGAAAAGTTCGTATCACCCAATTGGCCATTTGATAGACCACTTTTACAGAGTTGAGTTTCAACAACGAGGATCTCCACATATTCATATGCTAGCATGGATAGAAAATGCGCCTGTGTTTGGACAATCTCCTAACGTGGAAATCACCAAATTCGTTGATAAATATGTGTCCTGTCACATACCAACTGAGGAGGCTACACCCATCAACTTACAAACACATCGTCATGCAAAAACCTGCAGAAAAAAAAGGCAAGGCATTTGTCGCTTTGGATTTCCTATTTTTCCAATGGATGAAACAGTGATTCTCTCCCCACTAGATCAATTTCAACCCGGTGAAAAAAGGAAATTAACAAATCTTTATGCAACAATACAAAAATATTTAACAGACTTGAAACTTGCAGAGGACGTAATTATCACATTCGAAAACATGCTACAAGACTTGCAAACAACACGAGCAGAATACATTTTAGCTATTCGATCTTCGTTAAAATCAGAGAAATTGTTCCTCAAAAGGACACCGAATGAAATCAGAATAAATGCATATAACAAAGATATACTTGCAACATGGAAAGCAAACATGGACCTCCAATTCGTTTTAGATCCATTCGCTTGTGCAATGTACATAGTTTCTTACATCAGCAAAGGTCAAAGAGGTATGAGTCTTCTTATGCAACAAGCTACAAAAGAGGCTAGACAAGGAAATTTAGATATAGTGCAGCGTGTTCGTCACATTGGAAACATATTCCTTAACCATGTAGAAATCAGTGCCCAAGAAGCAGTTTACCTAACTCTACAGTTGCCATTAAGGAAAGCCTCGAGACAATTTGTATTCATAAATACATCCCTTCCAGAAAATCGAACAATACTCATTAAACCTCTTCAGTACATTGAACAACTACCTGATAATTCTACTGACATAAAATGTTCAGGACTTTTAGACAAATATATCTCTAGGCCATCATCGCTTGATCATTACTGTCTAGCTGACTTTGCAGCATGGTACGATTCACCCCAAAACAAGAAAACCGTACACACTTCATCCAACAGTGATTCTGATTCAGATAATTCAGACGACTGTGACATCAGTGATGACGGACGAAGCATCAGCAATCCTACATCGAATTATAAACGAAGAAAACGAGCTAAAATCATAAGATATGTACGTTTCCATAAGGATAAAGATCCAGAAAACTATTACAGAGAACAAATAATGTTGTACTATCCATGGCGGTGTGAGAACAACTTGCAAGGTGGTTGTTCAACATTCAAAGAACGATATCTGCAACTGCAGTCAGTGATAAAACCTAAAGACTTAGAATACAATCACAACACTAAGGCAATTGACCTAGCAATACAACAACTAGACAATGTTCATAACAATGTCGAAGATACAGATGCTTTTAACGTAACAGCTCCAAACACTGAACACACAAACCGTCTAGTCCAAAACGAACAAAAAGGCACTGAAATCACCAACAAAAATGAAAAAATTGAACAATACGATATAGGGCAAGACCTTGGTCTGGCAGTTAATACTTTCAGCACAGATGATTTACTTGCTCCACGTCTTTCTGACTGTGAACTTAGAGCTATGATTAGAACACTCAACCGCAAACAAAAGCAATTCTTCTATCACGTCTTACACTTGTGCAAGACTCAAACACAGCCTCACTTCACTTTCCTAACTGGAGGGGCTGGTGTAGGAAAGTCACAGGTTTTACGAGCACTTCACAATGCTCTTCTTAAATATTATTCTAGTCAACCCGGCATAAATCCTGACAATATCCAAATATTGTTATTAGCTCCAACTGGAAAAGCTGCATACAATATTAGGGGATCAACAATACACAGTGCTTTACACATACCAGCTAATCAAAACTATGACTATACTCCATTATCAGCAAATGTCCTAAACACACTCCAGGTTAAGTACATGAACCTGAAGGTAATATTCATCGACGAAATTTCAATGGTCGGCAACAGAATGTTTAATTATATCAACAAAAGACTACAGCAGATTCTAGGTAACAACACAATATTTGGTGGAGTAAGCATAGTTGCAGTTGGAGATTTATTTCAACTGAAACCAGTATTTGACAATTGGATTTTCCTCAATGATTCTAACAATTATGGATCTCTTGCCACAAACTTATGGAAGGAACACTTTCTTGCCTTCGAACTAACTGAAATCATGCGGCAAAAAGATGACAAACCTTTTGCAAATATTTTGAATCGCATTCGAGAGGGAAAACATACACCAGCTGACTTAAATATACTTCAAACAAGAACAATCGATGAACACACAAAGGCTCCTTCAAACACCACACATATATATCATACAAACAAAAAAGTTGATGACCATAACAATCTAGTTTTCAACCACCTTCAAACAAAAAAAGATATTATATACGCTCAAGACATTGTTACTGGTGATGTAGATCAATCCATTAAATCAAAAATCTTGCGATCTATTCCTAAGAACCCACAAAGAACTATGGGTTTATTTCATGAGCTTTGCATCGGTGTTGCACAACGAGTAGATCTATGTGTTAATGTTACAGTTGAAGATGGCTTGACCAATGGTGCTTCTGGTATGGTACGTCATTTAGAAACAACAGAACATGACCACATCGACACAATTTGGATTGAATTTGATGACAAACCAATTGGTGAAATATTAAGAAAAAACAACACGCACCGTTACCAACCACCAATACATCCAACATGGACACCTATAACTCGAATTTCCAGACAATTTCGAGTTGGACGTTACAAAAATGCGGATGTCATGCGCAAACAGTTTCCTATAAGACCCGCATCAGCCAAAACAATACACAAGTGTCAAGGTGCTACACTGCAAAACATTGTCATTGATATGTCATGTACAAGATGCCCTTCACATTTACATTACGTTGCATTAAGTAGAGTAACATCTTTGTCCGGCTTACACATTGTTGATTTAAACGCTACAAAAATAACAGTCGACCAAAACGTCAAATTTGAAATGGAACAACTGCGAACGATAAGACACCTGAAACCTATTATACCTGATAGACTAGGTGATAACATTTCTACAACAATTCTCCATCAAAATGTCCGCTCTCTAAAACGCCACATCGAAGATATCAGAAATGATTATTTAATCACCTCTGCTGACATTATAATTTTCACGGAGACTCATATTTCAAATCATTCAACTGACCAAATTCATATTGAAGGATTCTACTTTCATACTAATGTGCCCTCTTGGCATTCTTCTAAACAAAAACCATATGGTATTGTTACTTACACTAAAGACAACATAACAACTGACTTGGACAAAACCTTTGATTCACATTCAGTAGAAATTTCTTTGTCATGTAAACAAACGATGAATGGACGCATTCATATTGCATCTATTTACAAACCTCCAAGGATTCCTGTATCTAATTTACTTAATGCAATTACTAATCTACTAAACCAGATAAATACCACAATACCACTGATCATTGTAGGAGATTTCAACATTGACCTTCTAATTAACAACAATGCCACCGCATTACTTTCTGATTTACTTTTAGACAAATTCGGATTCACACAACTTATAAAGACTCCTACTACAGACTACAACTCGTGTTTAGATCATATATACACAAATATTTTACCAAACAACATACAATCATTTGGCACGCTTGAAAGCTACTTCAGTGACCATAAACCTACATGGATTTCTATTTTAGACTGTCATTAATATATAGAAAATAACGACACAAACTCCATATTTATTTTATTAGCTATTTATATCAGGCACCTTCAAATTCTTAAACCAAGCCACCCTGCAAGGGAACAAAAAAAATTTATCATCATTGTCACCCTGCACTGGAGACAAGTAACATATCCTCAAATGCATGTCATCCTGCATGGGAAACAAGAAACATAACAGAAAACCATGACACCCTGCACAGGACCAAGGAAACTTAACTTGACAATTGTGTCACCCTGCACGGGAGACAAAAACCATAACTTTGATTCCATGCCGCCCTGCACGGGAGACAAGAAACATAACTTGAAAAATATTACACCCTGCATGGGAGACAAGAAACATGACAGAAACCATGACACCCTGCACGGGACCAAAGAAACTCAACTTGACATTTGTGCCACCCTGCACGGGATACAAAAAACGTAACTTAAAGGATATGACGCCCTGCACGGGAGACAACAAACATAACTTGAAAAATATGGTGCCCTGCATGGTACCAGAAAAACTGAGCTTGAAAACTATGACACCCGGCACGAACATAACAACCACAACATCACATCCATGTCGCCCAGCACATGACACATAAAACATTACAAAAAATATATGACTCCTTGCGCATGAGACAAGAAACAACAATTCATGTCACCCTGCACAAGAAACAAAACTTGCAAAATACATGATACCCTACATGGGCGACAAAACACATAAGTTAAAAGACCATGTCACCCTGCACAGGACACAAAAAATTACCTCTAAAACTAGGACACACGAAAGACCACGATTTCATTCCTAAAATCCATGTCACACCCCCCCCCCCCCCCCACACATCTAGATGTGTATAAGAGACAGCCCTTTATAGGACCCAAGAAACGTGACATTAGACCATGACACCCTACCCTGAAAATTATAAAAGTTTACACTACTGACACCCTGCAACAGACACAACATAACTTAGATACACTAACATCCTGCACAGGACAGGGGAAGCATTACGTAGAATATTTCACCCTGCACAAAAAAAGAAGCGACAATAGGGCCATATAGCAACAAACAAACTACACGATGTTCATTGACAGCTATGAAAATCCCCAATTGATTACCAATGACAACTACTACCAGGATTAATTTAACTTCATTAGGCTTTAACAGCAATTATAAATTCACAAGATTGAAATTTTAAGGCACCATAAAAAAGGAAAAGGTTATTGGAATTCTAACAAATTCAACAACTTAACAGGGTCAAATACTTCTTATGAACTATATTCATAATGCCCAAATTCATATAGCCCAAATTGATTGCAATATATATGTTTAAAATTATATATTAAATTTTTTTGCAAACAACTTCTTTCAACGAAAATACATAAACCACAATATACCCTGCTGTACTCATTCCAACACAGATATGGCTGCTTTCAACATCTACGCATTGACCACACCTTCTACCCGTGGCACCAACAAACACTTTTATGCAATGGACAACGCATTGCAAGTAATTGAGGTCACCATCCATGCAGATCTTGCCAACAAGGTCGAAAGAGGTATTTACTACCTCCTCACCAACTACACCAACAACCGATCAAATGATGTCCACTACCTACGCCTAAGTGAAAAGTCTAAGGTAAACACTGCGCCCTCTTAAAAGCTTTCGGTATTCCTACACTGCATCTTCTATACTTCCATCAATTCAAAATGCCTAATTACTTTCAACAACAAAACAAACTCCTCACATACACACACCACCATTCATACAAACATTTTGCTCAACTAATATTAAACCAAACACTCTTACTATATATGAAATACCATTACAACAAAGACTAGCTAGGTCTTCTCTGCATTTGCTGGTAATGATTTTTTACACATTACCCACTCTGTTCCATGATCTACTGCATAAACAAATGACATTAATATTTAAATTGTTCTTCCAGATTTACAAGTCAGGTAGAGCATTTGAAATCCCTGAAGACACCCTCAACAACTTCTACGAACCCACCGAGAAAAGCGTGCCAGAGGCCCTAGCATCACCAGCCAAAAGAAGGCTCACCATTTCTGCTAAAGTAGACGAGGTAAGCTAAATACTGTATACTGCTACATATTTCCACAACCCCTAGTCTCACCTGCAAACCAAAACTAATTTCTAATTCAGGAACCACATTAGCAACATTTTGTGGCCAAATTGCAAATTACAAATACATGAGGGAATGCAAGAAAACATAAGGATTACATAAAATGGAAGATAATTACTGTCTTCTATATAAAGTTATTATAATAAGAATTGATATTAACAATGACATTAAAAAGAAAAAATTACATTAAAAAGGAAGGTACAACTATCATTTATAAATATCAACAATTTATAAATATCACAAAAAATCATTTTATAAATAAAGTGTCAATTCTATTTAATAAAGTATATTTTCATTTAATTTATTCTAACCTAATAAAACGTGAGAAGTAGGTATATTATTCATTTTACACATTCTTATTCATAACATCATTAAAGTAAGGAATAGGACTGTCAGAAAAACGTTTTGTATAACACATCTTCATTGACATGCATAACTAATACAACCAACAGCACTTGATTACCTCAACACATGTTGCATACAAACACTCATTGCCATCCACTCGCACTAACACTTACTACACAAACATCAACAACAGGCTAAACACATTATGAACAACCAACAAATATCTACTATTAAACATATTTTACATTTCCTTTCAAAACCTTTGCAGGTCTACCCAACACAGGATGGTCCTTCAGGCAACTGGCGCCGCACGGATGTCATTTTGGCTGACGAGCCAACAGCCAAACGCATCCGCTGCAAACTGTGGAATAACAACTCGTCTTTAATTACACCAGCACATAAAGGACAAATGGTTACCCTCCAAAATGTTCAAGTAGAGGTCTACAAGGACAAAACCCAACTGAAGTCTACGGACATGACAACCATATCTGTAAGTACCTATATTTACCAATTTGCACATCCCTAACCAACATATTCCACAACAATTTCAAATAACCTACATTTTAGCAAAACGTTGTTTTCAATGCGCTAAAGGCCTTTTCAACATACAGTTTATTACACATGTTTCAAAAAAACATCTTACTTAAACAAACGACCTCAAACTACCATGAACCCAAAATACAAAACAGGCAACCCTTCAGTTACACAAAATCCCAACATTACACTAACACAAATTCCTGCACTTCACACTTCACCATTTCCATGCAAATAAAGTACTATGCGCCCGAATACATTCCATTTGAGCAAACTGCCACACCACTGTCACTTTTCCCAACCAGGTCCATCTACACGCCGATATTTACAGTATAATAATGTGCACCCACTTTTTTTTCATCATCCACAGGTTCAGGATGTGCACGTAGATCCCATTTCTGATGCCTACACCGTCATTGGCATTGACGAAGATGAGTAAGTATTTAAAACAACCCTACTGTGAGAGATTGCTCCATTCATTCACATTAGTTCCACACAAAATTCTTATCATTAGGAATATTAAAATACGCAAAAATAAATCTAAAAGACAACAGAAATGGTCATATTTCCATAGGCCCCACTTCAATACCACCATACGATTCCCATACAAAATTGCCATTTTCAACTTATATAGAGCTCAGATTTTCACACACCTACACAATAGGTGATTATTCTTGCAATTCACTAGACAAAAACTTCACAAACCAACCATTATTTGCTTTATATCATTAAATCACCACACGAAAATGCATAACAACTGCTTTTCCATACCTGTTGTATATTGTATGTAATAGTTTTCACCACCCTCTGCCAACATTGGTTTGGATACTATTTATGTGTAGTACCACACAAACACCTTTTAACATCTCTGTTCTTCACACAGCACTACAATACATTGTCATTATCAACCTCATTAACAAACACACATTAAAATGTACTACATTCCATATGATATTAATTCCTAATTATTTTCCCAACAGAACCAATATATTCCTGATCACGGATGAGGACAAGTCTTTTTCGTGCAGGAAGACCACACTCTTCAATCAAACAGGCTGGACAACTGCCGCATTCACCGACCACTTACCACAAAGATGCACCATCACAAGTCTTCACACAGTCATCACTCACATTGACATTCATTTATAGACAATAATCCTCAAAATTCAAAAGAAAAAAAAGCCCCAAAAACCATGCTGCCCTTAACATCCTTGTAAGCTTTAAAGTCAAACTCCGGAGGAAAAACATTTTTTGATATGTTGTAGAACTCATTATTTTTAAGACAGAAAAATGTTGTTTGATAAAAAACTTGGGAACTGTGAGGGAGATACAGATTTTTTTATATTTCAAAACTGGGGGGAAAATGGGCATATCCGCCCATTTTTACACCTTCTTCCCCCTGTTTTTATTTATTCAAACCTCTGTATCTCCTTCACTGTTGCTCAGTTTTTGATAAAACTACATTTTCCTGTCCTATAAAATTCAGTCCTGCAACATATCAACAATTTCTTTCCCTCCGGAGCCTGACTTTAAAATCGCATTAGATTTGCCATATTTAGAAAATGACCATTGTCCTCGCGTACACGTTCAGATCATTGTGTATACTCTACATGAACTGTAGCATGTTTCATGAAATGTTACTTTAGCAATGTATATAATATTTTAGTTTTTTTATATTATGTTACATGTATTATCTATTAGTTCCCTCTTCTGATATCAAACAAAAAAAATGACCAGCATATCATATAGGGTCATGTTGTATTACAGAACTAATTATTTTGTAATAATAAAATTACAATACCAAAAAAAAAAAAAGGAGTATCAGCCAACCTTCATGTACATTATATAATAATATATCAGTTTTCTTGAAATTATGTTAAATGTATTACTTATTAGTTTCCTGTTTTGAAATTAAAAGTAATGACTAACCTTGCAAGCGTCAATGTTAACTAATATATTTTATACATGAAAGTATAGGAGAAACAAATTTGTTTCTATTGCTATTGTTATTTCTAAATAAATAGTTCTGTAACACAAATGTCGCTATATAAAATGCTGGTCATTTCTTGTAATTACAAAAGAGGGAAAACTAATAACTAATACATTTAACATAATTTCAACAAAAGTGATATTTGCAGCCAACATTCATGAACATTATATAATAATATATCACTTTTGTTGAAATTATGTTAAATGTATTAGTTATTAGTTTTCCCTCTTGTAATTACAAGAAATGACCAGCATTTTATATAGCGACATTTGTGTTACAGAACTATTTATTTAGAAATAACAATAGCAATAGAAACAAATGTGTTTCTCCTATACTTTCATGTATAAAATATATTAGTTAACATTGACGCTTGCAAGGCTCTGGTTTGGAAATTATGTTAAATGTATTAGCTATTGGTTTTCTCTCCTTAAATATAGGTAATGACCAGCATATCATATAGGGTCATGTTGTGTTGCAGAACTAATTATTTTGTAATAATACAATTACAATACCAATAGAAAAAACATGGGTATCAGCCAACATTCATGACCATTATGTATTAATATATCAGTTTTGTTGATATTATGTTAAATGTTTTGCTTATTAGTTTTTACTCTTTTGAAATTACAAGAAATGACTAGCATTTTCTATAGGGACATGTGTTACTGAACTATTTATTTAGAAATAACAATAACAATAGAAAAAATGTGTTTAGCCTATAGTTTCATGTATGAAATATATTAGTTAACATTAACGCCTGCAAAGCTCTGGTTTGGAAATTATGTTAAATGTATTAGCTATTAGTTTTCTCCTTAAATTGAAATAATGACCAGCATATTATATAGGGTCATGTTATGTTACTCAACAAATTATTTAGAAATAATAAAATAAAAATATTAATAGAAAAAAATGCGTATGATACAGTCTTTGCCTTGCCTTTCAGAACGTCATATTCATTTTCCAAAACATCCAACCCACATAATAACAACACTGCTAAAAAAAAAAAAAACACTTTTAAACACAATTCAAATTTGACCCAACCGTATGTTTGTATGTTGTAATGTATGTATGTATATATATATATATGTGTGTGTATAGGCCTACATATATATATTTGTATATATATATACATACATATATGCATTATAACATATATACATACTTATATATTATATATATACATATATATACAAACTTATATATATATACACATATATATACATATACATACTTATATATACGTAATATATATATATATACATACATATATATATACATATATACACATACATATATACTTATATAGGCCTATATATATACTTCGTATATATGCACTTATATTCTTATATACTTATATATAAGTATATATACACACACAAACATATATGTATATATATGTATGTATATATATATAAATATATATATGTATACATATATATAAATATATATATATACGTACATGTATATATATATATGTATATATATTTTATATATATATCTATACGTATATAATCTTCTTAAAGTCGTGTATCATGCATAGGAACGTTGACGCCCGCAGGGCTCTGGTCATGGATTGTTTAAGCCAGTGACTACTATAATGCTAATGCAAATTTTTTCAGTTGTTTTCTTAAGGTTCACAAAGTATAGGACTGTATACGTATAGCTGTAAAGCCTATAGATTATGGACCTCTAAAGAGAGGTAGGACTGTTAATCCAGTAATATATACTGTAGTCTAACAATATTTCAAAGGTTCCCTACCTATTCCATCTCATCACTATTAAACATGATAATTACAATATCATCTTTTGACTATCTGGATGTTTTTTTAAATTTTATACTTCACTAAAAAAATATAAAATCTACTTATTTGATTTAACAGGAAATGTTTTTTTTTTATTTGAATTGCCCTGGTTAGAATGTGATTGGAATACAGAATTAAACTGGTTCAACCAGATTGTTCGGGTGTGAAATAGGTAATTGGTTAGAACATGTGTTATGGGCTAGAGTCAACTGTGTTAACCAGATCATAATCTTATATGGATGAGTTTAAACTGGTTTCAAGTTGATAGAAATTTTGTTATGAAGCATTGTTTAAGAAAGCCGCATTTTTAATGGAGATTTTGTGCTGGAGCACGCAGGTACAGTACATAACTGATTCTCTAAGTAATTAAAATCCCTGTTCAGGTTTTGGGTTATTACTGAGTCATGTATAGATTATTATTATGTAATATAGAAATGTACATATGGATGTTGAGTATGGTGACAAAGTAATATTATTTCTAATTAGAATTGCATAATGTATAAGAAATTTATGGATATTCTTAAAGTTGGGTTAGATTGTCATTATATTTGAAACAAAATTCTTGTTTACTAACACATGTAATGACGCTTGCATGGTGCTTTATATTTACTTTTTATTTGTGTAAATTTGTGTTTGCATTTTGGAGAATATTAATTTGATTTTAAATGCTGAAGAAGACGACAAATTTAATATTAAGTTAACATAATGGATATGTTGTATAGTATGCCATAAAATGGTGTCAATGAATGGGAATGAGATTATGAAAAGTTCTGAAAGTTGTTTAGATTTCTTCTGATTGTTTTACAACAAAACTCTGAAATCAAAACCAGTCAAAATAAATATAATCAGGTTAGATGTTAAACATTAGTAGGAATTTTTCTGAAGTATTTTTAGAACTTTTGAAATTATAAGCATCGTAGAACTTAAGTTGAAACAAGTATCTTCGTTTTTTTATTGTATTATGTGACCATCCATTTTTTACTGTAGCTATTTTTCTTGATGTAGGATTAACAAATGTGTACAGAGAAAATCAATGAATATTTATTGTTATGATTTTGTTATGATTACAGTTATAATTATTGCAAATGTATTAAATGCTATCCGTGGATGCGAGTGTGACTACTGTTAAGTTATTGTGACAGTTTATAGTCAGCCTGATTCTGGGTGCTAACGTTCATCATCAGCACATTAGTCAGAGATTCCAGATAGTAATAAGGAATGTTATTGTGCTATGTATAAGCAGCAGTTACTTTCACTAACACAACACAGATTGTACATACACATTACAGGAAGTGAATTGGGCAGTAAACCAGGAAACAATGCCATACTCCCAAAATAGTGTACTGGGTTCTTTTTTTTTTGTCCAGTCAAACCAAGGAGGTATTATAGTGTTTAACAGCTTAACATATCCCATCCATAGAAATAGGTAATTACATCAAATAACAGTATTAGCAGGTCCAAGTGCTTCAAACCTGGTCTCTAACCTCTGACACTATGTATCCTCATCGCTAACACAATGTCCAACTCATTTGGACACCTGAAAGAGATCCCAAGAAAGGCAGGCCTAAAAGTTTGTAAGGAGTGAACATCATGTTGGTGGACAAACTGAAGATAGTGACTACATCAGCCTTGTGTTATCACCAGGCACAAAGAGAATATGCAAGTAAAACACTACAAGCATTCAGAATAACATCCTGATTAATATTCTTGTAAGGTTCATTCTCAACCTTCAATAAATAAAAATACAAAATTCAATGATCCATTCTCAACCATCAATGTACAATCCCATGGCCAATTCTCACACCTTCAATGTTTTGTCTGTAACATAACAAGTTCATACACTAGAGACTAATTATTTTATTTTTCTCACAGAAGAACATTTATTCTCAATTGCTACAATTGTACATGAAGAAATACAACATCAGGTGAGTTTCACTCCTGCTATGTTATACTGTGTAACATCTCAATAATTACCCACCTTAAAGGGACATACAACAATGCATTTGTTACAGAATCCTTGAAAAACCTGTGGCAAAAATTGAAAGCAAAAATAAAAAGCAAGAAATACGGAAAATTTATCAAAGTACATTTGTTAAAATTTGATAACGTAATTTGTTTTTCTGAACTAGAAAGATGCATGATACATTCATATGGTATAACAAATTTACAGGTGTCATCTGTAAGCGAGTTAATCAAGCATGTAAGTATTCAAAATTCATTTTCAACTGGTCAACAATTTGCTATTAAATATGCATCAGATATCAATCTTATACACATTTCATTTGTTTTACCTACAAAATATAGGATGGAAAATAGATGCCATTTCCAAAAAAAAAAATGTCCCTTTAAGTTATAACTTACAATAAACCACTCACTTTTATTATTTCTGCCTTCAACCTGAATTTCTATTTTAAAACATCCATCTTGTCTCTTATTTTGTGAATGTTTTTTTCATGGATTTTTTATATTGTAATTACTATGGATACTGGCGTATCACCTCATTTTCAAGATATTATAAATACAACAATCCTGACAAAACTTAAATATTGCACAAACCTATCTCGCAATGCACAACCCCCAAAGTGTAACATCTACTTCACTTATAACAGTAACAAGAGCTGTCACTTAACAGACTACACTCTAAGCCTACACCTAATTCAGATCATATAGCTGGAATTAACATCTTAAATTCTAAGAGAAAAAAAAAATAACAATAATTAAATAATTAAATTTAAATCAATTAAAAAACAAAAAAACTATTGTCATGCAACATTATAAAAATGGATTTGACATTTGGGAAAATAATAAGAATTTACCCCTTACCCTCTCAGAGAGGAATAACAAATGGAAGGTGCTAAATGATTACTTTTATTTAATCAATAACCATTTTAAAAAGATGGTTGAATATAAACAATCTGATAAGTTTTAAAAAGAAATAAATAAGCACCGACATTTTAACAAAAACCCAAATTTTATCAAAAAGAATATAAACACCTGTCAAAGTGAGAAATATTTATATTCTAAACTGATGGTATCCAATACAATCATAAATCAACTAATGGTATGAAAAAAATGTTATTTCATTCTGTAAAATGTTTCAGAAGACCCTCATCTGAAACATAAAAATATATTAACAAGGAAAAATATACTTCGATACTGTACTTAAAAATTTGTTAACATAAATTATACAAACTTAGGTACTTGTAACTTGGTGAAACCTGATGCTCTGCTATTATGTTTAAATGTTTTTCCTGTGACAAATACCTATGATTTGCCCATATATGGGTGTGTTATGACATCATCCTGCCCATATATGGGTGTTGATATGACATCACCATGCCCATATATATGCAAATCAGATTTTTTTTATCACAGAAAGGTAAAAGCATGGATAAAGCACAAGAGAAAATACAAAACATGTGCATGTCACATCTAACTTGTTGATACTTCAACAAGACTTGAATTGATACAAATAAACAGAAACAAGCACAATTTAGAATAACTTTTTTAAACTTGACAATGATACACAAGTATTTTAAACACAGGTATTCTGTTTATCTTATTATATGTACAATAAAAAAAAAAAATTGACAATACAAAATTAAGCATATGTAATGAAAACTATTTTGTCAACGATACTAAAAGGATGATCTACTACCTAGGAGGATGCAAATTGAAAGTACTTGATTAAAAAAAATACCAAGTACATAAAAACACCATTTTAAATTAACTTGTCTAATAATTTTTAAACAATTTAATGAAGGTAATTAGAATGCAACCTCATTAAATTTTAAAAGATATATATTTTTTAAACATATTCAATAATTTTATTTTTAATACTTTATCAGAATACTCAGGTAAGTATATGATGAACACTAATTGCTCAATTTCCAAGACTGTAAATTGTAAAATTATCATCAGGGTTTTTAAAAAAATGAGGAATTTATCTAACCATGGAATGACTTACAGAGCTCAAAACTTCTACTACGTCTGAAATAAATTCAATATCTACAAACCTATTACAAACTGCTGAATATTTAGCAAATTACATGAAATGAATATTCATCTGTACTATGTTTATATTACATAAGTTATATCTTACTTGCTAATTAGGTAGCCATACAATGTCTGATACATTCTACAGTGCAAACTAGAAGAGCAGACATTGATCATACTATTTATTTACTTAAGTCATGCGAATTGACAAATTCTTGGCTAGGCTTTGTAAATAGCTATAAGAGTTAGGTTAACCTAAGCTAAATGTAATTAAGTTAATTGTTGTGTCATACTATAGTTGACAAATAAGAGAACTAATTTGTAATTTCTATTAACAGTTAATGAAAGAGAAATTATGAGCAGATTTTCTTTAATTACATATAATGCTCTGTGGGTAAGCAAATTTTTGTAGCATACAGACAATAACGTTTTCTTGGATCTTGTATAATCAAATTCTTCACAATTTAATCTTTGAGAATCCTTAATCAAATATATAAACATTTAATAAATTGATCACAAAGATGGCAATATTGTATACAATCAAAATTAGCACCGGTTTTAAAGGGAAAGGTTTGTATTGACTCAGTGCTGAAATGATGAATAAAAGACTGCTTCTTTTCACAGGAATACACATAACACTGCCCTCTATAGCTCAAACCACTCCAAGTTGGTTTAAAACATTCATTGGTATATTATAAGTTTGAACTCCTGTGAAAAGACATTGATTAACCTTGTAAATGAACTTACACTGCGGTTCACAGATGTTGTATATATAATTTAAAGTGGATGTATTTCATTCACTAGTTTCATCACTCTGAGTATTTTCTTTTTTGTTCACAACCACATGATTATTTTCTTGGATACACTTTTAAGATCAATAAATTTTAGGGTAGTCTAGAACATAATTTTATGCTCTACAAAATAGAATTAGGCATGATCTTTGCGGTGCAACTTCTATGCTGTTTGTGTCCATTAAAAAGGTTATGAATTTACAGATATTTACCAAAATTCACTAGAAAAATCTATTCGAAAAAACCCTTTCCACAATCTCCATAACACATCCAAAATGCATTGCACAGAAAATTGCGATCGGAGGATAATTTGATATTTGTAGAGTTAACTGAGGATACATAATGGAAAATGTTTCAGTACAAAGAAGAATGCAGTTAAAACCATGATTCATTACATTCTTTTGTGCAGCCATTATTAAATACATGATGGTCTCGTCATATCTTAACAAGTAGCATTCATGTGCGACAAGTACAAAATTAAACATTCCGTTTAGGTGACGGTAAAAACTCATTGAACCGGAACTGCCGCAATATCTGTCGCAACATTATCATTCTTTACGTGCGTGTTGAAACGTTGCGCCTCGTCCGACTTATCTGCGTACATGTTCTTTAGAGTTGAGATAAGTGATTGGAGACTGTCAGTGTTGCCAGTCGGTTTATCTGCTTTCGCATCTTTGCCGCCGGATATGTGGCGCATCAGTCCAGTGCGAAGCTCTTCTAACTGTTTATCAAGTGACCTGTGTTTCTCCATCATGACTTCATGTTCCTGCTCTGACTGTCGTAGCTTGGTCTCCATCGAGGCAATCTGTGTTCGTAGCTTTAACATAGAGGATTCTGTTTGTGTATTGCTAGCTTGTAAGTCAAGAATCTCCTGGTCTAACATCTTTAGATCTTCATCATTTTCAATATCTATAAGAAAATTAAATAGTCCTGTAATCTATATTTTGATTAACATTCATTTGCTCTACAAACTGGCCTTTACGGGCAGGCTTAGGAAGATAAAACCTATATCATTGATATTTCAAGATTTTCTTTTAGAAATATAAACATGTATTCTAATACACCCAACTGAACTACTAGGCCAAGTTGTGACACTGTTACATCCACACAGTCTTTATATTATCTATCTTCCAAACAAATTATTATTGCAACACTTGAACATGATTTATTTTTGTGTTATTTTTTGGGTTTTATAGGGGACCAACTGGCGCAGGAGCTGCAGTTAGGCTCTCAATATCAAGATCAGAGATTGAACACTTGATGG